TTGAAATTCATCTTTAAACATGTAAACATGAATATATATATATTTAGTAACATGTTTGTTTAATTACCAAAAAGCAGTTCTTCAAATATTCACAATTTATTAAAAGAAACATTTCTTAAATGGCACTATCCTAAAATATATCGGTAAAATTCATACTAAAATAACAAATTTCAACTGAACATATGATCACCTTTTACTTTATAAAGTATAAAATTCTGTAAAGAAAAATTTAAGCCTTAAAAGATTGTGAATAACTTTTCCAAACTTCTGTTCTTAATAAAAAGACAGAATTACCAATACAATTTTCACGAAAGCTTTTTTATAAGGAGTGAATATACCTCAGACTAACACTATAACACTTGGTTTTAAATACACAAAAATTGTTATAAAGGAAGACTGTATTTCTTATGAGAAGAAATTTAGTTGACACGAATAAATAAAACCTAACATTTAACAGTTTAACTTTTTAAAAGAATCACAGGCTATTTCAAAGAAAAGTCAAGAGGAGGTGATAGCTGAAGTTACAAGACCACAGTCTTCTTCATATGAATCATTCGTCCATGATGCTGAATTAGTCATAACGGTGATCTATGTCAATTAGGAAGGTAACTACAAAGAATGGATCAGCTGTGCTACAGTCCATTCATCTTGCTCATAAGGACAGTCTCATGTGCAAAGAGACACTTAAACAAAGAAAATCTAATTTTAGTAAGAAGCACAACAAAATTGTAAGTATGAAAAAAAACCTTACTTTCCCAAGTTTTCCACATGGCCAAGGCAGGTGGAAAAACAGTAGTTGTACGCAATTACAATAGAAGGATACAGTGACTGGAAATCCAAAACGAGAACAGAGTTGCTATAGAAGCGAGATTCAGGCTCCATAATTAGGGGAACACACTGTGGAGCTCTCATCTGGGATCTCTGCTGTACACTAGGTGTCACAGGAATATAGTTCATTGGTTTTGCAATACGCAACATCATTGATTCCACACGGTACTGCAGGCAGAGAGGTGAAGGTAAGGGAGAGAAGAAGAAATTGTTTAAATATACTGGTTCTTTGAATATGTGATAATCATTTGGGGAACGTTTTGCTCTTCAGAATATGGCAACATTGACCTTCTTACAATACAGTCATATAGTGTTGTTGGTTATTTACTCAGCTTTCAGGTGTCAGAGGGGATATTTGTAAATCCTTTTCCTATTCCCTAATTTTATAAAAACTGCAAAATATGTCAACTTACACAGTAAGTCAATTTTGAAAAGGCAGACAATTAGACTTTTCTTTATGTCATAATAAACAGATGTAAAAGAGACAACTGTATAGTTGACAGTTTCATTTAAAAAGTTGGCCAATAATCTTTGACAAATTTATTTGGTAAAATTAGAGAATGAAAGTCAGGAGACTTGATATGGGTAAATGTTATCCCAATATCCCAAGAAGGAAACACAAAGATTCCAAAACTGAAAGGTAGTCAGCTTAATACTGGTCCCTTACAAAACTGAATCAAGCAATTACTGGTTGTTTATGGTAACTGCTATAAAGCAGATAGTTTGGAGTACTAGAGAAAGAAAGCACTCACAAGAACCAGCACGGATTCACTGAAATGTTCTCAGTCTGTTTTAAGGTATCTGTGCTCTCTATTATAAGCCAACTCAGTTTTTAAGATTTGGGGGAGTATAAATAAAATAAAATAGCTTATAAGCAATAAAATTAATAAGTAAATAGGTAATGCCAACGTAGTCAGAAATCTGTTTTTGCTGTATTTACTGAACTGGTAGATTGGGGGGAACTTACAGACATAAAATCATTGAAAGATTTTATGAGGAACATGAATGATTTAATGTAGTATTCCTGATGGCTAGCACAGTGGTTATTTAACACACTAAATGTATTCAAATAAGTATTTGTTGAATGAATGCATAAAACCATTTTCACAAGGCATTTTTAAAAAAAATCTCATTATATCCTTGGGAAATTAGTTAGAAAGATATTAAGTGGCTTCTAGGGTCCCATTTTTCTGTAACATTTCAAAAAAGTAATACAGCCCATTTATATTGATTCCTGAATCCTCCTCTTTTTTTTTTTTTTTTTTAAAACATTAAGGTTATTTGTTGGGAGTTGGAACAAGCCAAAATTAGGAAGGTAAAACAAAAGAGAGGGAGACTTTGCTGCTTCCCCAGTTCTAAGGAGCCTTTAAAGGTATCCCTAATCACACTGACAGTATTCAGGAACCATCTTCAAGGGCACAGCCATTTATTTTCTTAATACCTTGCATAACTTAGCAGTGGCCAAAACGTTGGTAAGGAGAGAAAACAAAAGCAGAACTGTTATGTGAAATTAAAGCTTTTCTAGAAAATGAAATGACAAGACTTGATGAACCAGCTATATATATTGGTTGGGACCAGACAGAAAGTTTAAAAAATCAAACCGCCTCAAACATCTCAAAAGTGAGTATGTCATTTACACAGAACTTTCAAGTATACAAGAAAATCAATTTCCTACCTGTGAACCCCTTGTCAGTACATGTAAAAACTGAATGCCAAAAAGTCTAGCCATTTCACTGGTTTTCCCAATCAGGTCCAGCTGTTCTAACATTTGGAGATTTCCACGGACACGGCTAATGTAATGATCAACCATTTTCCATCTGTTAAAATAGAATCCATGCTATGAATATTAGGGAAAAATCTGGACACTGGAAACTAGTACCATTTTCATTCTGCCAAAACCTACCTATTAAGAGCAAAGTTATTTAAGGAGGGAGTCATAATGTGAGCCTTTAGCAAAGTATGTTAAGGAGTTAAACATTAGAAAATTTCAGATATTTCAAGGGCATAAAACCTAGTGAAAATATGTAAAGTTTAAAATAGTGCTTGTGAGAAGGTGGTAAGACTAAGGATAATTATTTTCAATATTTTGCTTTGATGTTACGCTATTTTTATTATAAAAAATTAACACTGTCTCTTAGATGCCACTGCTAATGATGCGATAGTTATACAGTAATAACTATTCTACCTATAGGCTTGTAAAGAACATGGAGACTTTGGGTTATCTTTGTTAATCCCAGTCTGAAATAAAAGTATGCACTGGCCTCTTATGGGAACAGAGGATTTTGGTGACTACCTAGAAAAATCAGGAAAATAATTTTAATGGGACCATACATGGGGTAAATATGTGTCAAATCAGTATTTTCTGTTAAAATAAAAATATTCTGTTCTTTGATTTAAACCTTACAAATAAACCTCTTCACCCTACCTAACTTTTGTTAAGAAAAATAAGCAGTAACAAAAAACCTTTACCAAAGTCATGAAAGAAAGTTCTGACTTAATATTATGTTATCAAAATGTAAAAATGATCCAAAGATATACTGTAAATAAAATTATTCATTTAAAGAATATGAAGGTTCAAATATATTGCAACCTTTAATTATATATGAGTTTTAGAATACAGCCACATAATTGTTCAATAGAAAAAGTTAAAAAACCTGTTCCTGAGATACATGACTAATCAATATAGAAACACTAGAAAATAAACATGAAAAGAAGAAAAAAACTCACCCTATAATTAAAAAGACAGATAATAACAAGTGTTAGCAAGGATGGGGAGAATTTATAACCCTCATAAACTGCTGGTGAAATGTAAAATACTGCAGTTGTATTGAAAATAGTCTGGCAATTCCTCAAATTATTAAAAATAGAGTTCCCATATAAGCGACCAATTCCACTCCTAAGTATATATCCAAGAGGTATAAAGATACACGTCTACACAAAAACTTGTACAAAAATGTTCATAACAGCATTATTTAGAACAGCCAAAAAAAATGGAAATACCCAAGTGCCCATCAACTGACGGATAAATGTGATATATACCCACACAGTGGAATATTACTTGGCAATAAAAGGAAATGAAGTGTTGCTATATGCTACAACATGAATAAAAAGACAGTCATAAAAGGCAACATATTGTATGATTCTACTTATATACGTGTGGAACAGGCAAATCTATGGAGGCAGAAAGTATATTAGTGGTTGCTTAAGGTGGAATTAGAGGGGTGCAGAAGGGAGGGTCAGAGGGTAATGACTAATATGTAGGGTTTCTTTTGAGGTAATGGAAATACTCTAAAAACCACTGAATTATACACTTTAAATGGGTGAATTGTGTGAATTATATCCAAATAAAACTGTTCAAAACAATTAGACAAGAGAGAGGGATTTAGCTAACTGGTAGAGTGCATGCTTAACATGCACAAGGTTCTGGGTTCAATCCTCAGTACATCCAGTAAGAAAAAAAAAATTAAAAAAAAAAAAGAAAATTAGACAAAAAATCTTAAACTTTACCCAACTTTTAAAGTAACATAAATAGAAATATTGTTCTATCACTTGCATTTTTAACTTAATGTATTATGCCTATTTTATATATATATATATATATATATATTTGTATACTATTGTATGATTATAACAACTTAATGGATCTATTATTGAGTATCCTTTATTAACTATAATCAATGCTGTGATAAATATCTTTATAGTTAAGTCTATGTACAGATGCTTAAATATTTCCTTAAGATAAATTCTTAGATTTGGTCAAAGGGTATACTATGATTTAGTTTTTAACATGAAATGACACACTGCTTTCCAGAAGGTCTTAACAACTTACATTCATACTAGTAATGATAAACAGTTTGTTTCCTTGAATCTTCAGTAACACTAGGGACTAATTTTTTTTAAGTTATTACTAGTTTGATAGGCAAAAAATGGTATCACATTTTAATATGTCTTTTTTTGTTTTAGATTATTCATGTAACCCTTTGGTAATATAGGTAGCAAAATGTAAAGCAAAGAGTGCATTTCATGTGGAATCAATCATTCCTTTAAAATAAAACAAATTGGATTTAATGGCTCATCTTTTCTGTAGACCACATGAGTGATCAATGACCTGTCTTGGAGTTCACTGATCCTTTTTTTCTGCTTGATCTATTTTGATATTGAACCTCTCCAGTCAATTTTTCAGTTATTTTGTTCTTCAGTGCCACCAGTTCTGTTTAGTTCTTTTTAATTTTTTTCTCTCTCTGCTGAAATTCTTACTTTGTTCATGCATTGTTCTCTTGATCTTGGTGCGCATCTTTATGACATTTATTTTGAATTCTCTGTCAGGTAAATCATATAACTGCTTCATTAAGGCCAGTTTTTGGAAATTCATCTTGTTCTTTTGTTCGGAGTATCTTTGCCTGGTTCTTCATTTTCCTTGACTCTGTTGGTGTCCCACATTAGACAAAGCAGGCACCTCTTGCAATCTTTGTGGACTGGCCGTGTACAGAAGAACTCCTCCAATGAACACTGCCAAAGATTCTGGGAGCCTCTACCAACTCCTTCCCTCCCCAGAGAGAAGCAGGCAGGTATGGTTTCCTTCCATTCACATTCATTCTGTGCCCAAAGCACCATCTCCATTCCACACCTGCACTCCCAGCAACTGGACTGTGCTGGATCTGTGACAGCTTAAGACTAGAAAGACAGATGACAATCCTTTGGGTAGCCTTGGGGCAGTTGGGACAGTGGATGCATAAATCAACCGTTTATTGCATGGGTGAACTATGAGTTGGGGTATTTCATCCACTCACCTCTGTGCTGAGTAGTGGGGAGGATCTATGGCATTTACCAGCCCACACTGCCACCCCCCTCTATTTGGCTCTGTCAGCTAGGCTGTGCCACACCTGTCAGAGTACCCTCAGAAAAGATGCGGTGCTAGACACATGAAGTAACCCCTTCCCTTTCCTGGGAAAAGCTAGGAGCTAGGGGCCTTTTCCTGGTTGTATGGTTCTGGCTCAGAGGCACAGCCTCTGGCAAGAGGGTATTCCAGATCTCCCTCCCAACTTTGATGAGCC